AATAAATGAATAAATATTAGTGAAATTGTTAACAAAGGGTAATTGAAGCTATTAGTTGATTGAAGCTGTCATTTTTTGGGTGAATGTGGTAGTGGTGATGATATTGTGACGGAAATATTTTCCTATTTAGAGATGTCCAGCGGAGTCCTGCTGTTGTTACTGGGATTTAGTTTCTATATCCAAGTGACTAAATAACAAGTTGTGGAAAGATGTTCATGCTGGATTAAAGAATTCTTAGCTGCTTGCTGGCTTATTAACTTCTTATGATGGAAATGTTCACATATAACCAACTCCCATCTGCTGGTGTCTGGTTTCAACACTAGGGTCCTGTCCCTCCAGCTTGTGGCTGTTTGCTGTGACTGAGCCAGCGGCTGAACGCCAGTGACTAGCCGGTGGGAGCAAGCTTCCCAGAACCTTCCTGCAGTTGGAGAGCCCCTCAGACTTAGCTGTAATTTGTGATTTATCAACCTAGAGGATCCAGTTTTACAGAAAGCTAATGAGTCTTAATAGCACCTGGAAATTCAGGTTGGAGCTGTCGGTCACACTGAACTGTGTCACTTCTCTTAAGAGTGAGGCTTAGCCACCATTAAGGCGAGATGCCCCAAGCAGGTTAAGTGCTTTGCTTCAAGTTATTTGCAAAACCATTTTCATTTTTTCAGGCCGCCACCCTTGGCAAGTTTAATCATGCTTGTCTCAACTTTCACTGCCCAGATTTTGGCTGGTGGGGGAAAAGGAATTCAGGACAGTCCTTGGCCCCTACTTCCATGATAACCCCTCAAACACAGCCCAGACCCCCACTACTTGTGCTTGGGGATAGGGTAGGGATCTTTTCATCTTGTTTTCCTAATTTGAAAAGAAATTCTTATTTTAGATTCGAAGGGTGGTGTCAGCTCATCCTTTAAGGACTTGGAATTTGTTTTCTTGTTTCTGTTGTCACTTTATGGCTCATGTGTTCACTTAGCAAATCTTCATCTTTCTGTCTGGTCTACCAAAAAGCATGAAAATAGCAACCATCATCTGCACTGGCATTGCCCTGAAGCTTACAAAATGTGATTGCTCTGCTTCACCAAACCCTGAAGAGAGACATAAGCTTACTGGTGGCGATTTCATTCACATTACAGAAGAGCAAGCAGAGACCCATAGAGTTTAAACTGTTTGCTGCAAAAAGACGTTAGAATCTGGGTTTGTAATCCAGTGGAAAACTAGCATCAGCTTTTTTTTTTTTTTTTTTTATTAATCTCTTTCTTTCCCAAACCCAGCCCAAAGGGCTGGGTGGAGACAAGGTGACGGTGTTTGTTATAAATTGGATGAGGAGGATCAGTCTAGCGATTATGTGAAATACCTGTCTCCTTCCTGTGAATTAACTCAGTGTGGTCACTCAGTTTACTTGCCAGATAGCAGACTTAGCTGTTGCATGGGAATGACCTCAGAATTCTACCACCTCTGAGCTCCTAGCTTTGAGGAAGAATTCTCCTTTAAAACTAGCCCAGGGTCCCCAGACACATCCTGTAATCCCCGCATGCAGGAAGCTGAGGAATTAGGTTGGTGAGTTCAGTTCTGCCTGTAGTCTGGTTCAACCTGGATTATACAAGACGACTTGATTTAAAAACTCAAAAACCAAATAACCTAGGGTTGGGGCTGAGGGGCAGGGTGTAGCTCAGGGATACCATTCTTGCTGAGCACAAAGGGGGCCCTGGGCTCCATCCCCAGAATGAAAATGGGAGAAGGAAAAAGAAAGAAAGAAAGAAAGATAGATAGATAGATAGATAGATAGATCTCAGAGTTTAATAAATAGGGTGTTGGGGCTGGGGATTTAGCTCAGCGGCATAAGCACCTGCCTTGCAAGTGCATGGTCGTGAGTTCAATCCCCAGTACCGGAAAAAAAAAGTAATAAAAAAATAAATAGGGTGTCTCCAGGCACAGGTAGAACCAACAATGTAACTAAGCTACAGCTCATGTTAGGGATACAGGAGAATCTGTAGATCGCCTCTCCTCTTCTTAGTACTTAGACTCTCACCATGTAGCTCAGGCGAGCCTGAAAATCAGTGTTCCTCCCCAGCTTCCAAAGTGCTAACTTTTTGTTTTTGTGGGTGTGGTATTCAAGATGGAGCCTTATGCATGTTAGATAAGCACTGTACAACTAAGCCACATCCCTAGTCCACATCTTGGTTCTTAATACAAGACAGATTACCAGGAGAAAAGCATACATGTTTCAATTCTGTTCGCATGTAAGTGGGAACCTTCACAAGAGAGTGAGGGAAGACCTGAAGAAATGTCCAAAGCTGAAAACCTCTGTACTTCTAGACAACACTAAGTTTTATGGAAAAACAAGGCAGAGGGCCTGGGCTAGGGGCAGTGCATTCCAGGGAGTCTCCAGGAGATAATGGAGGGTGTGAAGTGGTGGTCCAGATCCACGCAGCATCAGTTCTCAGTCACTGGTGACAGTGGCGGTCTTTTCATGCTGATACGAGGATGTCAGCGCTCTCCCAGGAGAGTTTATGGCTGGCAGTATGTAAGGAAGCATAGTTCAGACAGACAGGCTCACAAACATTCAGTCAAAGAGTTATATTTTGGGGTGATATTCCAGTATCCATCAAGGACTAGTCACAGATACGTTGTTTATTAGTTACGGGATGTCAAGTAAATTTCCGACTCTCCAGTTTCATTTTGAAAATGGGAATATCAGAGCAGTCACCCTTAGTCTTCTCTAAGCTAAGTACTATACTGCACGGGGCTCAGAAGTGTTTGTAAGGATGACCTCTGGTGGAAGACATGAAAACTGCAGCCTGAGAGTTGCACGTAGTTCCTGAGCTTTCTGGGAGACACTTGCTCCTCCTGAATACCGGGGAGTCCAGCCTTGTAAAGCAAGGGTAACCGCAGGAATTTTTATAAAATAACAAGCAGTTTGAAGCAATAGAAATTCCACTGGATGGATCAGTAGCATTTATATTTTGAGACAGGGTCTCATTATGGAGTGGCGGTTATTTTAAAGGGAGGAAAATGGGCTAACTTGAGTCCTCCTAGAACAAGCTATCTTGTCAACTGTTCCCTCTGCCTGGAAGGCATTTTGTTATATTTTTGTCTTTTTTATTAATTGGCTGATTAACTGATGGAGGTTCCATGTCGCTCAAGTTGACCCTGAATTCCTGAGTTCAAGCAACCCTCCTGCCTCATCGTATAAGTACACTCCCCCAGACGGGGCTAGCAAAGCTCTTGAGCCAGGTTTCTTGCATTGTGGCTCCTTTGAGTCTGAACTCAGATGCCTCTACCTCAGAGAGACCCCTTGCTCTCAGCCCCCACATTGCCCTTTCAACATGCAATCAATCACCTTGCAAGTAGCCCGCACTCAGTAAATATGGAATGTTAATCATTGTCTTTTTAACTTTTTAAAATTTTATTCAGTGAGATAGCATTTAATATAGTGCTTGTTATGTGCCAAGCACTATTCTGTGGGTCCTAAACTGATGCTATTAGGTAGTCACTGTTGTTATCCTTATTCTACAGATAGGAGATTGAGACACAGAAAGGTTGAATAACTTCTCAAAGGTCACAGAGCTAGTATAAATAGCAAAACTGGGACTTGAATCTTGGGTTTCATGAACCTTGAGTTTCATGAATTTGTTTAGTTTATTCCTATTATGTCAGGTTGTCTTTTTCTTAGTATCCATCACTGAATGCTTAAATGCATACTGTTTATTTAAATATAGATTATAACATTTTGCTATACCTTGGCCTCTATCTTTTGTTTTTGTTTTTGTTTTTTTTTTAAATTTTATTTAAAAGGAAAAAGAGAAAAACACAAAACAAAACAAAGCGATGTAAGGGTACAAGTAATACAGAACTACAAAAAAAAAAAAAAAAACAGTAAGAAATCACCAGTTAATAGATTACATATTATCATCTTAGAAATAGTTGCTCAAATCACAGTATCAAAGAATACAAAGTGGACATTCAAACAGTGAGACTACAAACAGTTGTGTTCAATGATCCAACCAAAAACATTAATATGGTCAGCTATTTAATACCCCTAAACACACTTGCTGTTGTATCCTTTAGAGCTCTTTTTTTCCCTCTCTTTTTTACAACAAAATTTACACATTTTGGGTTTTATTACTCCTTAGTTCTTATTACTTTTTTTGGGGGGGAGAGAATAAAGTCAAATATAGCAAAACAAAGCTGTCAGTCAAAACCAAGGATAGACATAGCACATGATGTAAAACAGAGTACAAGGTTATCAACAATAGTTATCAACGATGTCTCTTGTTTCCTTAAAAAGAATTGTCTATCTCATTAGATATTATAAAGTTGAACAAAACAGTAGAGAACAAGACCAATAAAACTTAAGCATTGTAAACATTACAGGACTTCCAAAGGAGACAATAGTCAAACCAGAATGGGCATCTTAGTGAATATTATTGCCTTCAAAGTAGTTGCCTATACCCTCAAACTTGATACTATCCTACAGAATGGAACAGAGTCTAATCAGTCAAAACAAGATCGTGGGAGTATTGGCCTCTATCTTTTGAACTCAGTGGGTTTCTGTACCCTGTCTTGATTATTTTATATTCTGTTTTCATATTGGGAGGAGCAGTCTGAAGCATGGGTTCCTTTTTTGTTGTTTCTGTTATTCTTATTTATTTTTGTACTGGGGATCGAACTCACGACCTCATGCAACCAAGCATGCTTGCCAAGCAGACTCTTGTGCCACTTAGCTAAATCCCCAGCCCTTGTTGTTTCTATTAAAGAAAGTTTATTTTCTAGACATTATTTTCACTGAACAACTAGATTTTTTTAAAAAAAGATCAAAAGAATTGTGAAGAGTGTTAATAAGATTGATTCCAGGGGTAGCTTTGTTCTGTCACCAGATTATGGTTTGTTTTGCTTGTGCTTGGTTTGCATGAGTTGGCTTTTGTGGGTGAATTGAAGTTTGCTTTTTGGAGAAAAATGCTCTTGTCTTGAGTCTGCTCCATTTCCTAATCACTGTGTTTTCTGCCTTGCAGTGAGTTTTGAAGGATGCACAGGCCGGCCAAGAATAGTTTACTATTCTTCTGACTCCCGATTCAAAGTGGGTACAGATGGTGTAGTTACAGTCAAACGGCCCCTGCAGTTTCACAAACCAGAGATCAGTTTTTCTATCCATTCCTGGGACTCTACCTTCAGAAAGTTTTCCACTGAAGTCACACTGAAGGCAGAGGGACCCCATCACCAGCACCACAACCACCACCACCACCAGCACCAGGACCAAAACCAGGTATGTGGGTCACCATTGTTGCAGTCTGTAGCTAACCCAGGTTGCTTTGCCATGGTACCATCGGCATTTTGGGCAGGACAGTTTGTGTGGAGACTGTGCTGTGCACTGTTTACTGGCAATTCAGCAGCATCCCTGGCTTTCACTCAGTAGACACCAAGAGCACCTGTAGAGTTATGACAACCCAGAGTACCTCCAGATGCTGACAGTGCTGCCTGGGTGAGTTGCAAAATCATTCCTAGGAGAAGACTGTTGGTCTAACTGAACTATTTCTTGTTGGGCGTGGGGGTGGTTGTTGAACGTAAGGAGCAGGTAGTTGTAGCACAGTGGGAAAAGGCTTCTGGGAATTGAATTGGCCTTCCACTGACAACCTGAGCAACCCTGAAGGAGTTGCTTCATCTATCTAGGCTTGAGTTTCTTTTTCTATAAAATGGAGACAATAACAAGGACTGAATAAATGAATGCATGGGAAGTGCTAAGATCATGCTAGGTGTATACAGTTGGTATCCACAGTGAACCAGTCTAGAACACTCCCCTCCCCTTGTAGATACCAAAATCTGGATGCTTATGTTTCTTCTGTAAAATAATACCGGATTTGCATATCGCATATTCATGTCTTCCTAGGTTCTTAAATCATCTCTAGAAGGCTAAGAATGAAGCCCTAGGTTCTATCCACTAACACCTAATACAATGTAAATGTTGTATAAATCATGATTCTACTATATTGTTTAGGGAATAAAGACAAGGAAAAAAAGTATCATATTCAGTACCATTATAGTATCATTCTACAATGTCCCCTCATTTTCATGTGCTCAAAAATGTGGCTTTTGGAAGGCGATTAGATCACAAGGTCACTATTGGATCATGAGTTCACTATACTAGGTTTGTCTACCAATAAGTTCACTAGCTGAGTGCTATTTGGGGGTGCAGGCCAGAGGCAGGTCACTGGCAGCACTACCTGGAAGGGTGTATATCCTTCCCTGGCTCTTCCTTTCTCTCTCTGCTTCCTGTCCATTATGATATAAGCAGCTTCCCTTTGCTGTGCCATTTCTGCCTTGGAGAGAGCCCACCATGGACTAAATGTGTGCTAAAATAAATCACTTTATTTGTGTGGGTGTCAAGTATTTTGTCCCAATAATGAGGAAAATGACTAAGACCAGTACAGACACGGTCTTTTAAGAACTACTTTAACTCCATGATTGGTTGAATCCATGGATGTGAAACCTGCCAGTATGATGGGCCAGATGTACTGAGTATTCACTAATTATTGGCTGATCCTTTCTTTCCTGGGGGCACAATGAGTGAGACTTGCATTTTCTGATTGTTTTGCACTTTGTGTTTGGAGAGGGAGCCCTTGGCAAAGAAGAGGAGGAACAGGCGGGACTCATCTCGCCCAGAGGATTGTCAGTTGTACACAGTCTTTCTGCATTGTATTCAAAGTGCCTGGCCATTCAGTTTGGGACCTGCTAGGAACCCAGTAGGTACTGAATAGGCAGATACATAGATTGACCACAAATGGAAAGATATGTGTTTGCCTGGGTTCTTGGCAAGAATGTTTCTGGAAGCTGTAAATAAAAGCTAATGCCTTTGCAAGTTTCCACGCTCGCCCATGGGGCCCCTTATTAAAATCTCTCAGGCAGCAGATAGGGTGGGGAGCTGTGGGGTGGTGAGGATTTCTAGTTGTGCCTTGTGTACTACCTTGGAAGTATAGATTGTGCCCTAAATGCCAAAGCCTCTAGAGTGGGTTCCTGTTTTTTTCCCTCAGGATTTTTGAGATTCTTGGAGCTTAATAGTCCTCCTGATCCATCTGAATTTCTCCCTGGTATAATTAGAAAAGTGAGGAACTCGGAGGAACCGTATTAATAGGACCCTCCAGCTCACTTCTCCAGGTGGCCTGCCTGTCATTCACGTGAGGTCAGCACAGTGAGCTCTGCTAGCGATTATCCTTTCTGACCAAGAGGTCAGATTCTTGATGTCGATTCTTCTCTAGTTTTGCCTCTCCACTTCTGCCAACTGTGCCTCTGCTTTCATGTCTGCTGTACCAGGATTTGGTTCAAGTATGTATTGTATAAAACCTCAAATTACAGTGGCTTATGTAAAATATTTCTTTTAAGTTAAGGAAGTCCAAAAATGAGTTGTGTCCCACGTGGGTACCCTACAGCAGTGATAGTGAACCCATGGCATGTGTGCCGGAGCGGGCATGCAAAGCCCTCTCTGCCAATATGCAAGCCAAGTCACCCCAGCAGCTGAGCATCGGGCAGCAGCACACAGGGGTCATGTGCATGCTCGGAAGGGATAAATACTGCCAAGTGATGATGTCATGAGAGTTTGGGGACTCAGTCTCTAAAAGGTTCGCCATCACTGCTCTATACCCATCAGGGATCCAGGTTTCCTTTTGGCCGTTTTCCTCAGCCTGTGGCTTTCATCCTCATAGTGACCTTAGGGTCTAAGACAGCTGCTGGAGCTCTACGTGATTATTCTACGTAAAGAGGAGAAAGAGAAGCATAGCAATGCATTGCTTAGTTATCTGCCGGCCTCTTAAGAAACCTTTATGGGATTCTTAAGCAACACTTCTAATTATATATATCACATTAGTCAGAACCTAGCCTCCTGGCCACACCTAACTGCAAGTGTAGCTTCTTACAAAAATGTAGTCTTTTGCTTGGATACAGTGAGTGGCACAAAACTGAGATACATATATATTAGAGAAAAAGTTTTAATTTAAAAAATTTTTAATGAAAAATAGATATTGGATGGTAGGTGGTCTTTAGTTCAAAGGACTCTGGGTATCAAACCCAGGTATTGCATGAAAATGTACTCTCACTCAGGTATATTTTAACTCCTCTTACTTCCCTTTTAATTTGTATTAGATGTAATTTTCTACTTCTTTCACTTTGCTTGAGTAAAAGTTTTTAGTGGTTTTGAGTACGTTTCTGGTTTTTGTTTATTTTTTTGCTTTGCTTTTGTTTTGCTTTGGTCTCACTAGGTAGCACTGGCTGACCTTGAATTCATGGTAATCATCCTGCCTCAGCCTCCTGAGTCCTGGGGTTACATGCATGGGCCACCATGTGTAGTCTTGAATAGATTTTTTTTTTTTGCAGTGTGGTATTCTATTTTTCTGAGGGATAAATTTCCTGTTAATTATATTTGGACATGATTCCCTTCAATTTTACAGATGAAAATGCTAACATTGTGTTTAGCCAGCCTGATAAGCACAATGCTTATCATTATTTATTATCATTCTCTGAAAATATTCTGCAACCCTGATGTCAGCAAGAAATGATCTTTGCCTTTTCTGTCTACATGGCAAGTGGATTTGTATTCATTCACCAAGGCCAGTTTGCTCACCATGGCTGTATTTTACATGCACTACCAATAATTCATTTAATCCTTCAGAACACTGTTGTGTAGGTACTAACACCATCACCCCCATTTTAGACATGAGGACACTGTGATGGGGAGAAATGCTGTACCCTGACTAAGGAGGCACCATCGCAAGCATTCAAGCCATGCAGCCCAGCCTTTGACTCAGGTTGGCTGCCTCTGTAGGCAGATGGGGAGGGCAGAGGCTATGTGCGTCTGTATGTCCGTACATGTGTGGCATGTGTGCACATGTGGCCAGTGTGCAGGATTGGGAAAGAGTTCTGGATGCTACCTGGTCACATTTCATACCTTTCTTTTGCATCTTCAGTGAAACTTGGCAAGCAGTGATCAGTGACTAAGAGTGAGTATTCTTATGTGGTATGAAGCAGATGGAAATTTTCTGCAGGAATTTAACCATGTGAGCACTAATCACTCTAAAACACTTACATAATAATTTGAAAGATATTTTCCTTCTATCTTCAACTTTTGTTTCCCTAAGTAAGTATAAAGTTATCTTTATGCTAACAACTACTCAATACAAGTCTCCAAGGATGTTTTTTGATTTTGACTCAATGGTTTCTGTTAAAACAAATGAAATCCTTCTAGATAAAATATAATGAGTATTAGGGCTTGTGTCTAGATGTCACTCCAAAGCCTCATAATGGCCACAGGTGAGGCTTTTTCAGAGGTGGCTAGATCTAGAGTATGTGATGCCAGGGTTGATTCATGGTGTGGTGCAGTGCTAGGATCAAGGGCACTAAGATTAAGGGTGTGAGTGCTGCCCACCCTAAGTGGTCTGATAAGATATAAGGGACAGAAAGAGGCTTGTCTTGCCCTTGCTTGTTGCTTTTGCTATCTTTTGCCACTGTGAACTGCTTCTCTCTGATGCCTGCCTGTCTGCCATGGCTCTCTCCCTTGGACCAACCGATGACAGACTGAAACCTCTACAAACTGTGAGCTGAATAAATGTTTCCCCCTTTAACTTTGAGTGTCAAATACTTTGTCTCAGCATCGAGAAAAGTAACTAAGACAATGAAATTAAGAGATCTGTATTGATCACAAAGTATTCCTAATAGCAATTTTTAAAATTTAACTTGCTTTGGCAGATAATTTCCTTTTGGGGAACCATATACCTAGGAAAAACATGAGAAAAGAAATTAGAAATACCTTAGGGTCTAATTATTGGATGATCTCTAATATTAAATCAACAGAATATAATGTTACTATAAAAATGACATATGTATTACATAAGCTTGAAATAATGTGTAAATTACAATATGAAACCCTGAAACCTATAACATGTGTGCATGATTACTTTTAGTGGGCAATAAGAAAGGGGTAAAAGAAAACATTAGTTTTGTAACTGTTTCAGTCAGCTTTCTGTCACTGAAACAAAATACCAGAAGCAATTAACTTATAAAGAAAAAAGTTTTGTTTTTGCTCATGGTTTTAAATGTTCTAGTCCAAAATCAAGTGATCTTATTACTTTGATCCCCTGGTGAAGGCACCACATCATGTCAGGAACATGGAGCAGAGTGCAAACTGCTTACTTCATGAAAGTGAAAAGTAAGAGACAGGGTGTCCTATAGCATACTTGGTGCACCCTTGAGGATCTGAACACTCTTACTAAGCTCCAACCCCTAACACAGTGATACAGAACCTTTTAAAGACTTAAATGCTCAAATGTAACACAAAGACCACTACTCATCGAAAGTTCCAACATTGCGATTAAACCTTAATGCTGTGCTGCTGGGACGGTGCTGAGGTGACTTGGCTCACATGTGACAGGGAAGGTTCTACAAGCCCATTGCAACACATGTGCTGTAGAGTTTGCCACCACTGCCCTAAAGTTTCAAGCACTTTCCAATAATGCTGCCCTCGGGAACATTCAACTTCCTAACTGGCAAAGAGATTGATTGATTTTTGTCTTGGCTGTTCATTTTGGAGGGTACAAACAGTGTGTTGTTGAGAAAAGCTTGTGTTAAGTTAAAACTGCAACTGCCCTCAGAAGGTTTGAGATGCTGTCCATAGAAGTTGAATTCTTGGTCCTGTGTTAACTCGAGTTTTCTCATGTATTCTTTCATCTCCTTTCTTTTCAGGAAAATTCTCCAGAAACACAGCTAGAAGTGATCAAATTTCCCAACTTCCACCATGGTCTCAGAAGGCAGAAGAGAGACTGGGTTATCCCTCCCATCAGCTGCTCAGAAAATGAAAAAGGCCCGTTTCCTAAAAGACTGGTTCAGGTAGAGATGAAAGTTCTCTTATTTCTCTGGGAGGAATTTGGTAGAGAAGGAACGAGGAGTGGAAAGAAAAATGACACGTCAGGATCTTTCCTTCCAATTCTATTTCTTTATGTTTTTTTCTTCAGATCAAATCCAACAGGGACAAAGAAACCAAGGTTTTCTACAGCATCACTGGCCAAGGAGCTGACACGCCTCCTGTTGGGGTGTTTATTATTGAAAGAGAAACAGGATGGCTGATGGTGACAGAGCCTCTGGATAGAGAAAAAATTGCCAACTACACTGTGAGTATCTTTGAAGCTTGTTGATCATAGTGTAACATCTTCCAAAAGCTTTTTGGCTAGTCCATTGGATTCCCCAAACAGATGCTGCGGGCATGTGAGGAGTTTACGTTGACATCTCTTGACCTGTTGATAAGGTGAAATGATAGGAGAACCTGGGAAAATATGACATTTTAATTTTTTTTCTCATTAAAAATGATAAAGGCTGAGTGCAGTGGCTGCAAGCCTGTAGTCCCAGTACTCAGGATGCTGAGGCAGGAGGGTGATGTTCCAGGCAAGCCTGGACTATAAAGTGAGTTCAAGGCCAGGCTGAACTGCATACTGAAACCCTCTCCTCTCAAAAAATAAACCAATAAACTACAAAAACCAATGATAAAAGTCTTCATGCATTAACCACAAGTCTGTTCTGGGAACTGGAAAGTTCTTTAAAGAAAGAGGACAGTGATAATACTGGGGAGCCAGAACCATTGTTGGGCATTGGTAACAACATGGCTTAGGCAAGAGAGAGGTAACATAGTGGTGCCAAATGCAGCAAAATCTGGGGGGAACACTTGAGTGTAAAATAAGACTGTTCTAGGCTTCTGTCTTTGTCGCCAGTCCTGATACCCCAGTCTTGTGTGTGGGAGCTGGGAAGTCTGCCCTGGCGGGTGTTCCCTCCAGGCCATGGGTCTTAGCGCATCACATAGTCCTGTTGAAACCACAGCACTGAGGTCTCATGGTAGGAAGGAGTCGAGGGCAGGGAGCACCCATTCTGCTCTGGAGGGACCCCCTTGCTGCACCTCCTCTTCTTCATGGGGCCCAGGTAACCCTCTCTTTATTCTTGTAGCTCTTATCTCATGCCGTGTCATCAAACGGGAATGCAGTTGAGGATCCCATGGAGATTGTGATCACAGTGACAGATCAGAATGACAACAGGCCTCAGTTCATCAAGGAGGTCTTTGAGGGATCTGTCATGGAAGGCGCTCTTCCAGGTATGTCCAGCCACAAGGCCCTGATGCCTAGAAAGACATTTGGATTCTTTGAACCTGCAGTGTGTTTGGTTAGAGTTGGGAGCTCGGGCTTTATATGGATACCATTTCTTTAGAAGCCACTCTGTGTGTCTACGGATTAGTTGGGTGTCGCTGTGCCCAACTCCTACTTACTAGATGTTCTGAATACTAGTCTTCTGTCAGTCATTGTTAGAAGTATTTTCTTCCACTTTGATGCTGTGTTTCTAATGATTATCCTTCTCAGCGAAGCTATTGCTGAGAAGTCAACGTGGAGAATACTGGATTTTTTCTATTTTATACACTACTAAGTCAGTGTAAAAGACATGACAAGATGTTTTAGAGGTTATTTATTCACAGCTGTCCTCTTTCCCTCCAACCCCTACCTAAAAATATGTATTGAGAATGTTGAGTTCTCTGAACACAGCTCATGATGCAATGCTTTTTTTCTTCCCTGGCAATTTGGTGAGAATTCTACAAACTAGAACATGGAGAATCTGTGACAAAGATCTCCTGGGCCCCTCCTCTATCATTCAGGGCAGAACAGGGCTGAGAGGTATTGAGCAGTTCCCAAGGTGTAACCTTTTAACAAACTTCCGGTTCTCTGATGTTTCCAGGGACCTCCGTGATGCAGGTCTCAGCCACTGACGCAGATGATCCTAACACCTACAATGCTGAAATCGCTTACACCATCCTCAGCCAAGAGCCCACATTGCCTCACAGCCAAATGTTTACCATCAACCGGATCACTGGGGTCATCAGTGTGGTCACCACCGGGCTGGACCGAGAGGTCAGGAACAGGGATTAGGAGGATTCAGTGGGAACCGAAGGCAAATGCTGTTTTGTGAAGTCTCATGAACCATGTAAAACTGCCAAGACCAGTGGTCAGTTAGTGTAGTGGTCTGAGCTTTGCATCTAATATCTGCTCAGATAATTCTCTGCCTAGACAGACTGGCAGTTAAAACAGATGGTCAAATATTCTGGGTCTGTACACTGAAGAGGTTGGGCCGGGTCTGAGGTGGTTGTCTACTGGCACTGGTCCTGATGAAAGTGTGTCTGATCTATCTACAGAGTTATCCCACGTATACCCTGGTGGTTCAAGCTGCTGACCTTCAAGGTGAAGGCTTAAGCGCGATAGCAAAAGCTATGATCACAGTGACTGACGTCAACGATAACCCTCCCATCTTCAACCCGACCATGGTAATTCTGCAGTGCCTTAGAAGGGTTCCAAAGAAGCCTCCTTTGTTATTCGTGACCTAAGTTACACAACTGCCCATGATTGATTTCTTTGAAAGCTCATCCTCAGACTAGCTTGTGAAGGTTACGGTCAGGCAAAGATGGGATGTGGGGAAGGCTAGAGTGTGTTCTCAGCAGTATGTGACCCTGAATAGAGAAGCAGCTCCAAGCAGAGGAAAAACTGAAAAACAGCAGTAGTAAAGTACAGCGAACCGAATAAGGCCAAGACCTTCTAGGCTGGGGTAAGAATTTTAGAATTTGTTCTGAGTACAATGGGATATTGTCAAAGGGCTTTAAGCAGAAAGTTTATTTTTATGAAGATTATTGATAGAGAAGGGGTGAAGGCTTGGGGGAAATGATGGTACAATGTTAGTGTACTTGACTGACAATCATGCTCAGAAACCGGGCCACATGTGTGGAGCAGCTGGGACAGTCCCGGCCTTGGAAAGCCGCTTCAGTTCCTGATGGAGGAGGATACTCAGGAGCCCTTGTGCCCCACTGAAAGGAAATGGTGCTGTGCTCCGAGCATGGGGCTTCCTTCCATCCCCATCACCTGAGCTCAGGCTTGGGTTTAGACTGGGTTCCTTTAGCGTCTGAGACCTGCCTCTGCTTCCTGAGTCAGGTATTCTCAGTGACCTCTTATTTTTGCTTTGCAGTATGAGGGTCAAGTGCCTGAGAATGAGGCCGATGCAATCATTACTACGCTCAAAGTGACTGATGATGATGCCCCCAATACCCCAGCGTGGCAGGCCGTGTACACCATCTTGAATGATCCAGACAAGCAATTCATTGTCACCACAGACCCAATAACCAACAATGGCATTCTGAAAACAACTAAGGTTTGTATGTGCTTGGCAAGGTGCCAAACATTACACCCCAGCTGCTGGGGTCCCCCTGTCCCAGCGGCAGATTAATTAGCACTAGGGGCTGGGGATTTAGCTCAGTGGCATAAGTGCCTGCCTTGCAAGCAGGCAGTCGTGAGTTCGATCCCTGGTACCGATAAAAAGTAAAAAGACAAAAAAAAAAAAAAAAAAAAAGATTAGCACTGGAGGGTTAGTTTTCCCAGAATGCAGTGGACTCACCTCGTGGGGTTTGCAGGACTCAAATTGAACCCGAAGTACTGTGTGCTTTAATGGGCTCTTTCCCAGGAACATTTTGCCTTCCCCAATTCTCTCCCCATTTTGCAAATGAGAAGAAACATGGTTTACTGGCCTTGGCTACTTCACTGGACTATTTTACAAGTGGTATAAAGTGTAACTTTTTTGAAAAACGTTGTGGAAACCCGAAAACTAAGATGTTGGGTGAGTCATTGCAGGTAGTCTGGGTTAACAGCTCCAGAGCTTTGACTTCCTCTTTATCAATTGAGTAGACATTTTGAGGACCACTGGTATGTTACCAACCCAAACCAATAGTTAGGGTTTATTTATTTTTTTAAATTAACATGAAATGTTTGTTTGTTTGTGGTACTAGGGAGCAAACTCAACATCCTTGCTATGTTAGGCACATGTTGAGCCACATCCTGCCTCCAGCCCTTTGTATTTTATTTCTTTTTGACTTTTTTGAGGCAAGGTCTTGCTATGTAGTTCAAGCTGGACTTGAACTCACTACGTAGCCTAGCTGGCCTCGAACTCAGTATGTAGCTCAGGATGTCCTCCAATTCACAGTGGTCCTCCTGCCTCAGTCTCCTGAGTGCTGGGATTACAGACGTTCAGCACCACCACTGGTTTGTATTTTATTTTATTTTATTTTACTTTACTTATGGTGTTGGGAATCGATCTCATGACCTTGTACTTGCCATGTATTTTATTTTTTGACCTTAGTTTTTCGGCTCTCTAGGGATTGAATTTTGAGGCCAAGCAGCAATACATTCTACATGTGACAGCAACGAATGCAGTACCCTTTGAAGTGATTCTTCAGACCTCCACAGCCACTGTCACTGTAGATGTGCTGGACATCAATGAAGCCCCCATCTTTGTACCCCCTGAAAAAAGAGTAGATGTACCAGAAGACCTTCAGGTGGGCTTGGAAATCACATCCTACACAGCTCGGGAGCCAGACACATTTATGGAGCAGAGGATTACGTAAGTGTGAGGGTTCCTTGACTCTAACCTACAGCAAATGGGTATTTGTTATACATCTATAATCTTTCTGTCTGTCTGCCCATCCATCCATCCATCCATCCATCCATCCAATCTATCACAGTCATGTGTCAATGACAAAGATACATTCTGAGAAATGTGTCGTTGGTCACTTTTATCATGCAAACTAAGATGGCTACACTACCACTGGGCAGCATAATCTTATGGAACCACTGTCATGAATACTGTTTGTTGTTGACCAAAATGTTGTTTTAAAGCCCATGGCTGCATTTAGTTCACTGTGTTATACTGTCATTGGATTGTGCAAGTGTTCCCTCCCTCCCTCTCCCCTCTCCCTTTTCCTCCTCCTTTACATTTTATCTATACCCCCACATCTTTCCCCTTCCTTCCATTGTTGGCCATTTAGGTTTAATGTAATTTCTCTCTTTGAGTTCTTGCAGTATAGTTGGGATGTGATGTGGGGTTTTGATGTTTGAGATAGGGGCTCATTTTGTTGCCCAGGTTGACCATGAACACCTGGGTTCAAGTGATCCTCCTGCCTCTCAGCTCCTAAGTATGCCCTACTGTGCCCAGCAATAGGAGGAACATATTTTAAGTCACCTACATGGTGTTCTTTTTAGACATGAGGGCACCTCTATAATGTCAATTCTGACCAAAGATGTTGAAAAGACACCAACTATAACATTTTGCTTAGAAATACTCTAAATTTAGACAGTCAATATACTGCTCCTGATGTATGGGATATTTCTAGGTGGTCCAAAATGTAAGGTCTGATATAATGTTTTCATTTCATTCTCTGTCTCTCTGTCTCTGACTCTCTCCCTCTCCCTTTCATATTTATAATAAAAGTTTGAAAGAAGGGTGGGCTGAAAAGCCAAAGACAATTATATAAAGTGTTGCTCAGTGATGAAGCCTTGGATTGGATGCTGTCCAGGCTGGGTTGCTAACCTAGTTATAGTAATGAAGTAGGTAGTTTAAAGCATCTCTTTAGGCAAATTTGAGGGCCAGGCCTTAATAGTATTTAGAGAGTCTTTACCCAGGAACAAAGGCCACCACATGCAGATCACTGCTTTGCATTTCTAAGGAAGTGAGGACAAGATCTTAGCTGTCCACAGCTCTTTCTTCCTCACATTTCTTACCTTCCTTTTCTGAGCCATCCTAAGGCCCTGACAGATAAATGGGCAGTATATTTCTGATTTCCATGCTTTTATTTCCTCTGATTATTTCTAATAAGATGTGACTTAATAGGATCTTCTGCCATTGCAAATAAAGCTTTGTTTCTCTCTGTTAAATCTAGGAGATTTACCTTCCTTGCCTTTTACCCTTGGGCACCAATGGTACAACCTATTTCCATATCAGTGCATCTCCCTAAGTCTCTGGATGTTAATGACCAGAGGTGGGGCTATTGCCACAGTTGAGAACTACTGTAACTTTGGAGGACCTAGTCTTCTGGAGCCTGCTTTTACAAATAAGAATTGCCAGCTGGCCTTTAAAGCTCAGTGGCACAGTGCCTGCCTGACAAGCACGAGGTTGTGAATTCAATTCCTGTATCTCCCCCAAAAAAGAATTGCCAAGTGTAGCAATTACTATTACAGCTACTATATATAGTAATAATAAGCATTTCTTGGGAGAAAAATTACTCACAGAGGCTAAATTCATTAAGTTAGGCATGGTGGTGCACATCTATTAACCCAGAACTCAAGAGGATGAGGCAGGAGGGTCGCCAAGGCCAGTCTGGGCTACATACTGAGTTTGAGGTTAGCCTAGAATACACAGCAAGCACCTGTCAAGGAAAGAAGGAAAGGGAGGAGAAGAAAAGGGAAGGAAGGGGAGAAAGGGAAAATTATTGGGTAAACAAGATACTTTTAAATTATCTCCCACCAGGTTACAGGTTAATTAAAAGTGAGGGTTGGTCTTTTCTTATCCAAGTGGTAATAGTTAATGTTACGGGAAAGAACAGACCAGTGCCATGTGTACCCTAATGTAGTATACCAAGGAGGATGCTCCACACCATCCCCAAAAGGATGACTTGTGTCTAATTGCGAGGGGGCAATCAGACAAAACCCTAATTGATGACCGTTATAAGACAACTGGCTTGTAAATTCTTAGAATGTTAGGGTCAAGAAAGAAAAGAAAAGCCAGGGAATGGTTCCAAATTAATGGAAACTAGAAACATGCCCACTAAATGCCAAGCATGATCCATTACATCACTGGAAAGCAATCTGAGTACCATGTCATTCTCTTCAAAGAGAAGACTTTGATTACTTCTATGTGTGTAAGTGTTAACATACAGCTTGAGAGTAAATGTGGGAAAATAGTAACAAAAAGGGTAAGTGTAGGGGATGGGTTGGAGGTATGGTTATCATACTATTCTGGCAACTTTTGCATAAGGTTGGTAAACTTCAAATTAAGAATGTGGGGCCAAGCGTGGCAGCATATGCCTATAATCCCAGCACTCCGGGAGGCCGAGGTGGGAGGATCTTGAATTCAAGGTTGACCTGGACTGCATAATGAGACCTCTTCTCAACAAAATTAAAAAATTAAAACGTTAAGAGTAGGTGCAGTGGTGCATGGCTAAAATCCCACCTACTCCAGAGGCGGAGACAGAAGGCTGGCAAGTTTGAGGCTAACATGGGAAAACACTGTCTCAAAAATTTAAAAAAGGACTGGATGTGTCACTCAGTGGTACAGCACTTGCCCAGCATGTGTTAGGCTCCTTAGTTTCAATCTCCAATACCCCCTAAAACCAAACAGAAAACCCCAAACAACACTGGAAGTGACTGTACAAAGGAACAGAAACCTCAGCCTTCTGAGCTCCACGCTGCTTGCTATTCAGTACCATCCTAAGCCAGAGCTTGCGCCTTTTCAGGTACCGGATTTTGAGGGACCCTGCCAACTGGTTGGAGATTAACCCAGAAAGCGGTGCCATTACCAGTCGTGCTGAGCTGGACAGAGAGGCCTCTGATTATGTGAAGAACAGCACGTACATAGCCCTCATCATCGCCACCGACAATGGTAGGGACTTCTGTGGCCTGGGCTGCCTCAGCCTTCTGTTTGGCTTGACTCTTCTGCCCCTGCCCTATTGGAGACCTGCTTTCTGTCCTTTTTAATGTTTAAGTGAAGGCATTCTTGGTGTTTAGCATCTCAGTGCCCAGAATAATTTGGATCAAGCTGAAGTTCCTTTCCACCTGTCCTTCTTTACACCTGAGCCCTGCTCGTTCCCCACAGGAGCCTGAGTTTCTATCCCAGGTCCATGGCTTAATATCTGTGTGACCTTGGGCTTGCCACTTGACTTTTATGTCCCATCAGTTCCTTTAGCTGATAAAATGATAATACAAACTGGATTAAATGAATTAATTTAGCTGAGTATGGTTGTGCAGTCCTATAATTCAGCGCTTGGGTGGCTGAAGCAGGAGGATCATTGCAAGTTTGAGACCAGCCTGGGCTACAAAGTGAGCTCCAGGCCACCCTGAACTGCATAGTGAGACCCTGTCTCAGAACGACAATCAATCAGTCAGTTAATAAATAAGTTAATTTATACAATGTACCTAGAATAGTACCCACCTCATGCACTATAAGGGCTGTCTTTTTCATCATCATCATCCAGCCTGAATCCTTTTAGGCTTTCTGTGTATTTGAATACATTTAGATAGCTACAGAAATAGGTTCATTGACAGATAAATGGATAAAGGAAATTGTCATTTATACACTTGGAGTACTACTCTGCAGTAAAGGATAAACTCAAATCATTTGTAGGAAAATAAATGCATTTTATGGGGCTGAGGATTTAGCTCAGTGGCATAAGCACCTGCCTGGCAAGTGCATGGTCGTGAGTTCGATCCCTGGTACCAAGTAAATGCATTTTATTTGGTGAAATAAATCAAGCACATAAGCTTAAATACTGCATGGTTTCTCTTATATGAAAAACCCAAAGTATGAATATGATAAAGAGCAAAACAAAAGATAGGTAATAGAAAACAGGGAGATAGAGCTTTTGCAAGTGGGAAGGGGACCAAGAGATGGAAGGAGAAATACAAAGAAAACAACTTTAAGATGTGCCAAGTCCCCGAGATGAATGTAATTATTGCATATTGCAAACATGTACTAACAAATTTTAAAAGGGAATATACTTTATTATATTAGTTTGTAGAATTTTTATCTAGTTTTATTATCAACAATATACATGATACATGTTGTGTATTTGTTTGTTTATTTAACTTTTGTACCAAGGATCAAACTCATGACCTTTCCCTTGCCAAGCAGGCGCTTAGGCCCCTAAGCTAAATCCCCAGCACTTACATGTTGTTTAAATGTAAAATTTTGGGGCTGGGTTTATGCTTAGTTATAGTGTTTGCTTAGCATATACAAATGCCATGGGCTTGACTCCTAATACTGTAAAAATAAAATTAAATATGTTTTTAAAAAATTTCTAATTCCAGCTGGAGATTAACTCAGCACCATAAGTGTCTGGCCTGGCAAGCATGTGATCGTGAGTTCGATCCCTGGTACCAAAACAAAACAAATTCTATTCTAATTCCTCCAGTACTCTGGAGCAAACCTGTGGGCCCTACCCCTGACTTACATCCCCAGCCTTTCTTATTTTGTATTTTGAAGGCCAGCCTTCCTAAGTTGCCCTGGTAGAACTTGAACTTGTGATCCTCCTGCACTGTCTTCCCACAGTACTAGGATTATAGTTGTGCACCTATGCCCAGCCCCACTTCCAATTCTTTAAGATCGAGATTGGGGGGCTGGGAATACAGCTTAGTGGCACAGTACCTGCCTGGCAAACACGAGTTCAATTCCTGGTATCAAAAAAAAGCTAGTGATTGGGGCTGGAGATATACAGCTCAGTGATCCACTTGGCTAAGCATGAATGAGGCGCTTGATTTGATTCCCAAGAATACTACCCCACCCCTCAGGCATGCACATCACCATTGCACATGGCTGACCTATCTCTTTTTAATCAAGATGTTGTCTGGTCACAGCATGGTTTACCATTCACATATTTCAGTGAGTGCCAAGTACATGCCTCTTTTCACAAGTATTTCCCTGATGCTGGTCATGGTGGTACATACCTGTAATCTTAGCACTCAAGAGGCTGAGCCAAGAGGATTGTCATGAATTCAAGGCCAGCCTAGGCTACAAAATGAAACCCTGGCTCTAAATCTCTACATAAATAAACAAGTATTTCCCTGAATAAATTGTTGAAAGTAGAATTATTTCTTGTTTTCGTTTTTTGAGATAGAACCTTGCTATGTAGTTCAGACTGACCTTGAATTTACTGTGTAGTCCAGGCTGGCCTCCTGACTCAGCCTCCTGAGTTCTGGGACTACAGGCAGAATTAACTTTTTTTTCCCCCTTCCCTTTCCTGGTGCAGGTTCAAGCCTCTGTGTTTACAGATTTAAGAAGTCTCCCTGTTGTTGCTTCCCTATCACACACTAATATTGATGATAATGATTTCTTGAGTGTTCTATTTTCTCTTCCTCCATGTGCTGGCTCTGGTTAGGATTTAAAAGAAGTGTGGGGTGGGAATGGGGCCAGGCCCAGGGTGGGTTCACTGAGAGCCAGGACAAGCTTTTGTCTGCTGGGCGCTCAGGAGAACTCATTTGTGTTCCCGAGCTGTGACGTTTCCTCTGTATTTTCTCTCAGGTTCTCCGATCGCCACCGGAACAGGAACCCTCCTCTTGCACCTCTCGGACGTGAATGACAATGGCCCCGTACCAGAACCCCGAACCATGCACTTCTGCCAAAGGGACCCACAGCCTCATACCATAACCATCGTAGATCCAGATCTGCCCCCCAACACTTACCCCTTCATGGCCGAACTCACACACGGCGCAAGTGTCAATTGGACCATTGAGTACAAAGACTCAGGTGAGACTTCAGCTGTCTTTCTGAGTCTGGGCTCTGCCTGCTGTGTTCCCCTGCTGCTTTTCCCACTTCTGCATTTTCCTTCCAATTCCAGATGCCACCCCTTCCCTTCAGTGTTGGCTCCTCGTGCCTTTTATACACGTTGCTTGCCTTTCCTGGTGTTCAGCCGGTGACATACTGCCCACCGGTCTGAACCTCACGCCAGCTCCTGTAGCTCCTCTCAGCTTTGGCATGTCTTCAGTTACCTTCAGTTTTAGTGTAGGATGTGTTTTTCTTCTCCCCTCTCCTGGTTCCATCATTTGTTTTGCTTTCTTTAGCCCAAGACACTCTCATCTTGAAGCCAAAGAAAACCATGGAAGTGGGCGACTACAAAATCAACCTCAAGCTCATTGATAACCAGAACAAAGACCAAGTGACCACCTTGGATATCAGCGTGTGTGACTGTGAAGGGACCGTCACCAACTGTATGAGGGCAAATTATGTAGAAGCGGGACTGCAGGTGCCTGCCATCCTGGGCATTCTTGGAGGAATCCTTGCTTTGCTAAGTAAGTATACATGGCAGGTGTTGCGGCTTGGACTTCTAAAGCGGGGGAGCTTTACTTCCTAGACAAGACTTTTAGTTGGGGTTTAAGTTAAATTGATGTAAGAAAGAGACTTGTTCGTAATGAACATTTGAGAGGTTTGTAGTCCAAGACTGGAAGGCACCCGGGGTGGGGATTTAGCTCAGCGGCATAAGCGCCTGCCTTGCAAGCAGGCAGTCGTGAGTTCGATCCCCGGTACCGATAAAAACGAAAAAGACAAAAAAAAAAAAAAAAAAAAGACTGGAAGGCACCCTACTGCATCACCTTCTCAGTAAAGCCTGAGTTTTGACCCAGAGGTCTGACAAAAAGCTTCAGATTCTGTGCTTTTAACCAACTCCCAAGCTATGCCGATATTGTGGGTCCCTGGCCTCATCATAGCAGTCATAGCAATTCACATAGCAATTCACATCCTGCTGCTTGTGGTGGCGCATGCCTGCAATCCCAGCACTTGGGAGGCCGAGGGAGGAGGTTCACCATGAGTTTGAGGTCAATCTGAGATACACTGTAAGTTGAAGATCGGCCTGAACTACATAGCAACACCCTGCCTCAAAAAACACATAGTCAAACACAGCCACGCCCAAGCTGTAAGGGAGCCTGGACACTCCTGCTCTTCCCTGGGTGACCGTGCACCCAGTGAAAACTTGGTGGGCAGTAGGAGGGGAGTGTATTGTGAGCAGTGTCAGCAACTAGAAGAGGAAGAAAAGGGGTGCTGGGGAAGAAGTGGCAGTTTCTGCCATACTCTGAAACTGAAGTCTCCTCAGCCTGCCTGTAGCGTGAGCCCCAACGTTGATGCAGATACAGTTACAGTTTCTAAAAGCAAGCAATGGCGAGTCACTTAAAAGTCTTCACGGATGCTTCCTGTTTAATTAGGCTGAGAGGTCAGGTCACACGTGCAGTCAGGGAGGGCTGTTCTTGAGTCTCATGGGAGATGTCGGTGGCAGTACCACGGGGTTAGTGGAAACTGGTAGGCAGGAGGGTATTCGCGAGGGTTCCCACACTACTGAGGACCCAGAAGGAAGCCTGAGTGGTTTCTGTGTGTGGCAGAAAGAAGGCCAACCAGGGTGGAAGGTGAGTGTCAGAGGGGGCAGTGGGGACAACTCTGGGCCTGCTGGGTAGTTTGAGCACAGGTGCTAGTGACCCTCAAGTCCGCCTCAGTAGATGAGGGCATGCCTTCACCTTCAGCTTATGTTTGCTGGGTGTGCACTTCTTCTTTCTGCTAGGATCTGCAAAAAGTCAAAGAGGAAGATACTATTGAGAATTCAGTGAGCTTACTGGATTTTTATTCTTCAGCTCTTATACAACTTCATTACCATGGTATTAGGTTTATTCATCACGTTGTCTATTGTCACTCTGAGTGTAGTGACACAAGCCCTCCCTGCCCGCATCCTGGTCAAATTATGTTTAAATGGGCTGGCTGGCTGGCTGGCTTGGAGACAGAGTATCTGTCATTTTGCAGCTCAGATTGGCCTTGAACTGACTGTGAGCCCAGGCTGGCCTCAAACTTATGCTGAGCTTCCCACCTCGGATGCCTGAGAGCTGGGATTACAGGCATGTTCTACCCTGCCCAGCTCGGGTCTGCTTTCAAGATAGTGGGTCCTAATACTTTCCCAGGACTCGGAGGATCATCATAGGAATTACAGTTATACTTTTAAGTCTTTAAAATAGAATTACCTAATCTTGCTATGAGAATATTTCGTGAAAGGTGATGGTCATGGTTTGGGAAGATGTAAATGAAATTTAAAGCAGACATAGTGCCAAGATTCAGGTGTCCAATTTCTTATTGTTTAAGGGCAAAAATGTACTAGAGAAACACTGGGAATCTGAAGGTTTTTATGCTTTTCATTCATATTTGCTTGCTGATTCTTACTTTGTACCTGGCTTTGTGTCGGGTCCTGGGAGTACTGGAGTTTTGGTACAGCTCCCTTTGGAAGTGTCCTCTTGCAAACCATAACCTGGCCTCTCCCCAGTTACACCAGGCACCCTCCTGTCCCCATAGTCTTGGCCCCTATTCTTTCCCCATGCTGATACACTTTGATCTAGATTTTGGGAAAATGATTGGTCTGGGGAAGAGGGATTTGTTTTGTCTTGTCTTGTTTGGAGGAGAATGGTTTAGTGGGTCTGACAGTGTAGCCCAGATTGGCCTTGAAAGCTCTATCATCCTGCCTCAGCCAAGTGCCAGGATTATAGGTGTGAGCTACCATGCCCAGCTCAACAATGATTAGTTTTAAGATTGATCTGAAATTTAGAGACCTCACTTGAATTCATGAATCATTGTCTGCCATGTTGTACTACATGTATTAACTTACGAGAGGTGATTCATGTAGACTGATTGCCAGGTTTTTCAAGGCTGCCCATGGCTGTCTCTCTGCCACTCGTGGGGCATGCAGGGCAGTGGCAGTGTTCTGTGAAGAAGGCTGATTCCTCCGGCCTTCCTTGCCCGACACTCATGACTCGCACTCTCTCCTCTATTCCAGTTCTGATTCTACTGCTTCTACTGTTTATTCGGAGGAAAGGGGCGGTCAAAGAGCCCTTACTGCCCCCAGAAGATGACACGCGAGACAATGTTTATTACTATGATGAAGAAGGCGGTGGAGAAGAGGACCAGGTGGGTTTCAAAACATGAAAAGCTCAGGGTGACCTATCTGAAAAAAGTAATGGTGACGAGAAAGCAGACGTTTGAAAGAGGTTGCTGTCACTCTCTATTATTTTTTTAAGGCCCTAGACATTGTCTTTGGCCAAATTCAGCAGCAACAGCAACACAGCTGATTTTGATCAGCTACATTCTGCACCCAGATGAGAACTGGTGCATTTGAATAATAATAACCTAAAATCCACAGTCTAGAGAAAGACACAACAATTTATATGGATACCCACAAATGCTCCTCATTTGGGGCCATATTTTCTTCTAGTACTATTTGAGAGACTCCATATTTAAAAACTGTCATTTGCTATTAAATTGGGCACATGCTGGTAAGGAGCTTACAGTTGGCAGTCCAGGCATTGTGTAATACTATAATCCCTAAGGCAAATGCAGACCTGAGGGTGTGGCTCACTCTTTGACTCCTTCTCATGTTTTTGTCTTTTTTTTTTTTTAAAGGATTTTGACTTGAGCCAGTTGCATAGGGGCCTGGATGCTCGGCCTGAAGTGATTCGCAATGACGTAGCACCGACCCTCATGAGTGTGCCCCAGTATCGTCCCCGCCCTGCCAATCCCGATGAAATTGGGAATTTTATTGACGAAGTAAGTAACCAAAGTCAAAGGCCAAGGCATACAACTCAAAAACTCAGGAGGAGGGGAAAAAAGGGAAAAGTATCCAAAATGAGAAAGAAGCGTCTTAGATTTTTCTCTGTTTTAGCTTTTCCAGGACCCAAGCCCTAATTTTTCTTTGTGTCTCATCTGAATCTCAGAACAAGTAGCATTTTGAATTGATTTTATGAATTTGCTAAGTCTGCAGGACAGAACCAAGAAATTCCTTTTTAAGGTAGTAAAATACAACAGAGCAAGATGGAACAAAGTCAATTTAGACAGTGTAGTGAAATTGGTACAGAACTTCACAGCAGGTTACCAGGATAACAGTAATAGGTACCATAATATATCTCGTTATCTTCACAATAGTTGTTCTTTCAATCAGGTATAGCAAAATAAAATGAAATACAAAATATTATAGAACTGATCAAAACAGAATATTGAATAGAGCAGTACCATTAATCAGAGTAAAGAAAAACAGTAGTAAAAATATTTGCCTTCAAAGAGATGGTAGAAGGAAATCCCCCTTAATTGCTATATTGAATCTGGTCAACCTCCTAAGAGATGCTCAGACCTCTGCTCCCATTTGCTAATGGGGGGGAGGTGGAATGTTTGATTCTCAGCCCGTGCGCAGGTAAGCTCACTACCACTTAGCAGGAAGGTGAGCTGGTTGCTTGGTTTCCCAGCGCCCTTAGTTCCAACATGGCTCGGATCTCAGGGGTCACTGGTATTTCTCCCCTTGGGGCAGCTACAGCCTGCCACACCACAGCTGCTTAGCAGGGAGTTAAACTGGTTGCTTGGTTTCCCAGCTCCCTCCCAAAAAATTCTTGAAAGAATTTAGTGGATCCAGAAATGAAACTAAAGAGATGCAAAGTAAATTTAGCTTTGATTTCATTAATGAGTTCCCCTGCATTGCACAGTAGGTTGGGATACGATGTTAAATGTCTTATCACAGCCAGAAAAATAGCACTCATGCAGCATATGTCAGAAATGCATTCAGCTCTAAATAGAGAAGCTTAAACAGATTAGGAATAGATTCACCTCATGTAAATAGAAGGTTGGAGTAAGCAATCTAGATTGTGCATTTGGCTGTTCCCCATCTTTCTTTGTAGACCCTCATTCTCATGTTTGTTACCTCATGACCACAAGATGGCTGCCACACTTCCAGGCCCTGGGTCTGTATTTCCATCAGGAAAAAATAGGAAGTGCAGAGCAGGGGACAACAATCTGTCTTCTCATATACTGCATTATTGTTAAAGAAGGGAATTTGTCTAAAATGTTATTGACCAAACTGTCATAGAGTTGTCTCTACATGCAGGAGAAAATATTAAGGCCCTCAGTTAATTAGCCCAGGATAAAATGAGAAAGAATGGGAGGGGGTAAACACAAAGCCCAGTAAGGGATTAGGGGCCAGGATCTATTTGGTCAGGTACTGGAATTATTTTCAGGGCTTGTGTGATGGTCTAGTGGCCCCAGACTATCCGTTCATGTGGAGGCTGTTTTCTTTTATTTTTCAGTACTGGGGATTTTGCACTGAGCTACATTTCCAGTCCGTCCCACCTCCGTTCTCCTTTCTCCTTTTTTCAGACAGGATTTTGTTAAGTAAGCTGTCCAAGCTGGGTTCAAACTTGGGATCCTCCTGCCTCAGCTTCCAAAATGGCTGGGAATATAGGCAGGCACCATCGTGCCTAGTTTAGAGGCTGGTTTTGCTTTTGTCTTCTGTGGCTGTCACTGTCACTGGGAGTTGTATGGAGCATAAAGCACTGGCAGTAAGCAGCACACATCCATTCAGACCATGGACCCTTGGAGAGCAGAAGGACCATTTTCTCTACCTCTCTTTTTTTTTGTCTTTTTGAGACAGGGTCTCGCTATGCAGTTCAGGCTGGCCTTGAGCTCACTTTGTAGCCTAGGCTGGTCTCGAACTCGCAACGATCCTCCTGCCCCAGCTTCCTGAGTGCTGGGATTACAGGCATGAGCCAGCACACCCGGCTTCTGCCTGTCTTTGATACATATGGATCTGGGTCCTTTCATTCACTTTGGGGGCGTGGGGCAGTCATTGTTTAATGCACAGAATTCCATTTTGTCATGATTAAAAACTTTTGAAGATGAATGCTGACAGTTATATAAAACAATGTCATGAAGGCCACTAAATTACACAGATAAACATTAAACTTTATGTTACATACACTTTACCCCTAGTAAAAATACTTAAATGCGCAGGTGCTGTTCCACTGAGCTATATCCTTCAGCCTGCAGTTGTTTTTAATTATAAAATAACAAGCTTACTATTTTCAGAATGTAAATTATAAAATGTACATATATAAGGAACATGCAAGTCTCTCCTCAGTTCTTCAAACTCTAGTCCCTAGAGTTAACTTTTTTTGGTGTGTGCGGGTACCAGAAATCGAACTTGGGACCTTTCGCTTGCCATGGAGTTAACTTTCACTATCAATAGTTTGGCATTCATCCTTCTAGACTTTTTAGGCTAAAGTACAGTGTGTATGCACCAATCCAGCGGTCCTCTGCCCCTTCTGGTTTGGGACCTGAGACCCCTACCCCGACTTGCAGGTACCCCATTCTATCGGTCCCTAATTGTCCCTGCTTATGTGACATTTGGTTTAGAGGGAAAACATTCTGTCTCTTTTCCTCAACAATATATCCTGAGAGGGTGGTGAGGGCAGACAATAGAGGGGGAGGAATAAGACCAAAGTACATTATACACATTGAAATCCCCCCTCCAAAATATGAGACTGCAGGAAGCAGCCAGTGGGGCTCGGGGGGTGGGGAATGATTAAAGTATGTTGTGTGCAAGTACAAAAAAAATTTTTTTAAAATGATGTCCATCTTTTTGCTGTACTGGGGACTTAACCCAGGACCTGGCCAGGGGTAGGGGACTTTCAGACACTTGACATCCCTGTCCATCCCGCCGTGCCGGTTTGTAGGAATGCACCTTGTCGGTGATAGCTGCTCCCTGGCGTCCTGCAGAGCGGTGCACACGTCACATGTCCCCCGAGGCACCATGAGAATCTTGACTCTGTTGAATGCTGTGCCTTTCTTTTCACTGAAAGATTCTGTTGTCCTCCCTTAGAACCTGAAGGCTGCGGACAGTGACCCCACAGCGCCCCCTTACGACTCTCTGCTTGTGTTCGACTACGAAGGCAGTGGTTCCGAGGCTGCGGACCTGAGCTCCCTGAACTCCTCTGAGTCGGACCGGGACCAGGACTATGACTACCTGAACGAGTGGGGCAATCGCTTCAAGAAGCTGGCGGACATGTACGGAGGGGGCGAGGACGACTAGGGGGACCTGAGAGACTGGAGCAGTGTGACATGCAGAACAGTGTTCCTGGTGATTTTCGGCGCCCCTCCCTTAGAGGAACTCCTGGGACCAAGACCGATCCGTTATGCAGTTCAGATAGTTAAGGCTTTTCCTTTGTTTCCCTGTTTTGTGTGTTAGGAAGGTTTTGCCTTATTCATGAAATCTGTTCTCCTTCCTATAACCTGTACATAGTAATAAGGTCCCATTGCTCCTGGAATTTTGATATTTCAAAGAACAGTTTCAGCCTCTGAAGTTTCTGTTAGCTGCCAGGGTAGGTGGCACACACCTGTAACCGCAGCACTCAGGAGGCTGAAGCAGGAGGACCGCCATGAGCTCGAGGCCAGCCTGGGCCTACATAGTGAGTTCAAAGTCAGTCTGCACCACATAGACTCTCTCAAAAAAAGCAAGCAACCAACCAATAAATAAATTAAGTAAATTTGTTTCTGCTAGCAACTTACAGATTTCCTTAAGGGGGTCTGTCTCATATTTAAAAGGAAGGCTGAAAGTAAAATGTTATTTCCATGTCTATTTTTTTAAATTGGTTTTTTAGAATTGAGTGCCTCCTCCTCCACCCCAATCACTGCACTGGTGTCCTGTGTCCTGATCTCCACACTTAGTCCCGAAATCAGTTGTCCTGCCACATGCGGGAGTCCTGAAGTAGAAAATTCTGGCCCTTTCGGAGTGGAAGGCATGTGTCTCCGTCTGGCCATGTCTTGACTGGGTATCATGTACTCTAAAGACCTTTCTTGGTTTTCCTTTTCAGCTCCTGAGTATCAGGTGGAAATGGGCATCTTCATCTTTACTTGTTCTGAGTCAGTGTTTGTTATGTGAATGTTGTTTTGGGGTACTTTGATTCTATATCAGCATTGACCAGAAAATACGGTGAATTTCCAGGTGCCACTTAATTGTTTCATGTTTATTTATTAAAGACACTTAGAATAGTGCCTATAGTGCTACAGCCAAAGACAGCAAAAAAATACAGAGATGGCAGGAGGGCGCGTCAGTATTTTGGCCTTTTAGCAAATTGACGTTGAGGATGGCTGAGGTAGGTCAGCCTCTCTCTTTGAACGCCCTGGAAGAACCAGAATCTCAGCATGTGTTTCCTATCTGAGAGCCTCATCCATGGTCTCTACCCAAAAGCCCAGCATTTCCAAATGCTTGTTTTTGCTGGCCAGTCTGGACATAGGTGCCTGATTCCAAGTATGCACAGAAAATAAAATATTGGAAATTCCAACTTTATTTTTTAGGAGAAGAAAGAAAATACTGTCCTAATGGATGTTAAGAAAGGGAAAGGCTGGGAGTGGTGGCATACATCTCTAATCCCAGCACTCGGGAGGCTGAGGCAAGTGGATCTCAGTGAACTCGAGGCCAACCTCGACTCCATAGTGGGTTTGAGGCCATCCTGAACTGCATGGTTAAGACCCTGTCTCAAAAAAAGATGATGGTATGGGGCAAGAGAGAGAAAGGACTTTGATTTAAACCTTTTTTCTTTTTTCTTTTTTTTCCTGATTCAAATTTCAACTGTTGACTACCACAGGAAAGAGTTTTGAAATTGCTTTGCTATTAAGTGTTTGGGGAAGGAAAAAAAATCATGTCTGTAATCAATTGTTGAAATTGTCTTGATTTTTCTGCAATTTAAACCATATCTAATGTAGTTGGGTGTAGAGAATGTCATTGTAGTTTTGAGTGTAAATGTGTGTGGGTGCTGATAATTTTGTATTTTCTTTGGGAGTGGAAAAGGAAAACGATTCAAGCTAAGAAAAATATTCACAACAACACATTTTTATAAATTTTATTAAAGAGTTTTGTTAAACCATTGTCAAACTTGTTTGATTTGATCTCACTGGCATTCCAAAGAAAATAAAGGAGGTGAGTTCTGACAAAGCACAGAAATAGAAACTTCGGGCTGGACGGGGAGTGGTGGCACACACCTGTAATTCCAGCACTTAGGAAGGCCAGGCAGTGGGATTCTTGCAAGTCTGAGACCAACCTGAGCTACAAAGTGAGCTCCAGGCCAACCTGAACTGCATAATGAGAGCCTGTCTCAAAAAGACCAAAAAAAAAAAGAAACTTCATGTCAAAATGAGTTGTCCTGAACTTTCAGCCACTCTGCCTGAGGCAGAGAAGGGCAAACCACATTCCCTAGGTCACTGTAGCTGAAGACTCTGTGACTGAAAACCAGAAACCTTCCAAGTTCGGTGACAGCCTCCGGTGGGCTGACTTCCTGGGCTGAAGCCAAGTTTCCAGTAGTCCTCGTCCTTGTGGTCCGCCAGTGGGTCTCCACTGAAGAGTGCTGGGCCCCTCCCGTCCCCAGGGGACATTCAGCCATCTCTGGCAATGGACAGGAGGTGTTGCTGTCATGGATCAAGGCCAGGGATGCTGTTAGACACCCTGCAGTGCACAGGGCAGCCCCAAAGCAAGGAGTTGTCCCAGTTGGTGTCAGCGCTGCTGAGAAACCCCAGAGCACATCTGCAACTTTTTTTCTGCTAGATAGGTGTGGTTTTTTTTCTTTTTGTGATATTTTATTTTTTAAATTTTATTTTGAAAGTATACAACAGAACAAGACAGAATAAAGCCAACTAAGATCGTACAGTGAAATTGGTTTTATTTTATTTTTGAGACAGGCTCTGGCTACGTAGTTTAAGCTGGCCTGAGCCTTCCAAGTGCTGGGATTATGCCATTACCCCTGGCTTGATAATTTTTTAAAAATTACAGTAGCTAAAACAGTTTGCCATTTTAACCATTTGTGATTCTACAGCACAATGTCATTAAGTACATTCTAATTATTGCATAGCCAAAAAATAATTTAAAAAATTAAAAATTATTGCATAGCCATTTACACCATCGTCTGAAAGTTTTCATCTCAAACTGAAGCTTTGTACTCATTATAACCATTTTTAAGTGTAAAAGTTATGATACTAAGTACACTCAATGAGTAACTACCACTTCCTACTTCAGGACATTTTTGTTTTGTTTTCCAGACAGTCTCACCATATATGTAGTTCAGGCTGGCCTCAAACTCACTATGTAGCGCAGGCCTGCCTCAGCCTCCTGAGTGCTGAGATTACAGCTGTGGACCACCATGCCAGGCTCCAGACATTTTTTATCGCTCCAAAACAAAACTTTATCCAACAGACTACATTTTTCTTTATCTGCCTGTCCCTGGTTCCTATTCTGATTCTGTCTGTGGTTTTGTCTATTCTACGTATGTTTGGCTTCTTAGCATATTGCGAAGGTACATTCAATTGTAGCATGTATCAAAACATTCCTTTATGGGCCAAATAATCCATTGTATGCATATATTTCATTTTACTTACCCACTTCGGCTGTTTCTGCCTTTTGACCATTGAATACTGGTATTCAAACACTTGTTTGGGTCTCTACTTCCAATTCTTTTATGAATACTAATGAGTGGAATTTGTGGGGAATTTAACTTTTCCAAAACCACCAGTATATGAACTTTGAATCTCGATGTGAAAACCAAAATGTACAAAATGACATTTAGGGGCAATTAGAAATTTGGCTATGGATCATATGGTAGATGACTTTTCTTTCTTTCTTTGTACTGGGGATCAAACTCAAGACCTTGCACTTGCCAGACAGGCACTTCTGCCACTGAACTAAATTCCCAGCCGGTAGATAACAGCTCTGAGTGGATGTTAGTTTTTTGGTTGCAATAATAGAGGCAAGGCTCTCTAGGACAGCGCAGCCCTTATTATGATAGAAAGGTTCATGGAATAAAATATATCTGGAAATTAAACAGGTTCCAAAAAGGTATATATTGAGAAATAAATGCAACAAAATGTTCACAATGACTGAATCTAGGTGTTCATGTAGTCTCCATTTTTCCTTGGGTTTAAAATATTTCAAAATAAATGGGGCAGAAATAAAGAGCACAGAAATAAATCTCACATATGTGGTCAAGTGGTATTTGATAATGATGCCAAAGCCAAGGGGAAAAAGATTTTTTTTTTTTTTTCAACAAATAGCCTGGAAGAGCTGAGGATTTAGCTCAGTGGTATAAGCGCCTGCCTGGCAAGTGCAAGGTTATGAGTTCGATCCCCAGTACCAAAAAAAAGGCTGGAAGCTGGGATATAGGTCAGTGGCACAAGTGATTGCCTGAGTTCCATTCCCAGCACGCACACACACACAAAACCTAGAAAACTGGATGGTCCCTTAACATATGCAAAAGTTAAAATGTATCCAAAAACAGGAGAAGCTTCCTAATGTGGGATGTGGCAATGATTTCTTGACTACAACACTAGAGTCACAAGAAACAGAAGAAAAGGACACAGCCAGGGATGTAGCTCAGTAGTTCAGTGCTTGCTTAGTGTGAGACCCGGAGTTCGATTCCTAGCACTGCAATAAATAATAAATAAAGGCCAATTATGGAAAGTGGAACACAAACATGTAGCTTTGTAAGTGTTCCCCACAAAAACAGAGTTTGCAAGGCTCTGTCCTGGGAATTCTGCTCCTCCCAAACAGCCATTGAGAATCACTGAACACATTGTTAGTTCTGAGTTGAGTAAACAGGAGGCAAACACCCCAGCCTGCTTTAATGACTGGTTCAGCTGCATCAATTTCTAATATAATGAGGTCCTTGTTGGCTGATTTCAAATGAGTAGAGGAGTCAGGGATACATCTCTGGCTCAGAGTTTGCCTGGCAAGCGCAGGGCCCTGAGTTTGATTCCAGTACAGGAAAAATAAAAAGAATAGAGGACAGTTTCCATGAATACCAGTGTGTGTGTGTATTGAACATCCCTAGACTGCTCTTTGCAGAGGGGCCGCCTCCCCTCCCCCATATATGTCTTGTGGGGAGTTACTGTATGGATGTTTAGTCACATATTCAGGGGTCTCCCAGCATACTTCCTCTTTTTGTGTGTTGGGATCAAACTCCATGACCTCGTGCTTGCCAGGCAGTTACTTGTGCCGCTGAGCTAAAGCCCCAGCCTATTTCCATTTTTAACAAAGCTACCCAGAACAGTCTGTGGGAAGGAGCTACTAGACTTCCCAGAAACTAAAATTTCATTAGCTACAATACTAAATTATAAAGAAAAATTACACTTGAAAGCCTATTTAAAATTTTTTTTTTAAGTGGCAAGAATTGAACCCAGGTTTTCACAGATGCTAGGGAAGCACTCTATCACTGAGCTACAGCCCATCTGAAGCTAGGCAAAGTGGCACATGCCTGTACTCCTGGCATCTGGGAGCCTTAAACAAAAGGATTACAAGTTCAAGACCAGCCTGGGCTACAAAGTAAAACTGTCTCAGAAAAAAAATAAATAAATAAATAAAACTGTCTCAGAAAACAAACATGGCAGGGGGGAGATTTTAAAAATTACAGACTATGTTAATGTACCCACGCTCAAGGATGTAAAATGCATGTACTACAACTGTATACGACTTAAAAAATTAAACAACTACAACAATGACTAAAGAAGCCCATTTGAATGACTTTAGAATGGGAAAAGCCCAAGAATAGTTTCTTCTTCTGCCATAAGATTGACTCACGGGGCTGGGGATTTAGCTCAGCGGCATAAGCGCCTGCCTTGTAAGCAGGCAGTCGTGAGTTCGATCCCTGGTACTGATAAAAAGGAAAAAGACAAAAAAAAGATTGACTCACAATGCAGATTTATAGGCCTGGGTGGTCCCCTCCGACATCCTATCATGGATATTAAAATGCATTCATTGTCCCACATGGGACATGGTTATATTTTGGTGTAAATTTTTTTTGTGAAATCGTTATGACATTGCTTTTGAAATCATGCGTATCAATTTGTATTTGAGCCTATATAGCCTAAAAGATTACAAACAGTGATGTCCTAGTTCTGAAATATTTGGGATAAAAGGCTTCTCAGTTCTGGCTATCGTGTCATCTTTTGTAAATTCCACACCAATACTGCCTGGTAGAGCCTCAGTCCTGAAACTCAGGCTTATAAAACCCTAGCCACCACCTGGGCAAGAAATCTTCCAAGTATAGGAGACCTGCCCACCCCAAATCCTTAGCCTCCTCTTAGATCACACTCTAGGTTCCAGGCTTCTAAAACTCCCTGCCCAGCCATCCTGAGCCTGTGGGGTTCCTCACTTGGTCTGCCTCTGGCAAGGTGCACTAGGAACAATCACATCCCTGGGGGAGTGGGGACAAATAGTAACTACCTAGGGATGTGTGGGAGAGAGCTTGAACGTGCAGGGCCAGGGCTGGGCATAGTGGCACATGACTATAATCTCAGCACTCAGGGAGGCTGAGGCAGGAAGATTGCCATGAGTTTGAGGGCAGCCTAGCCTACAGAGTGCATTCAGGGCCAGCCTGATTCTGTCTCAAAAAACAAAAAACAAAAGTGCAGGGCTGGGATACTGACATATATAAGTGCAAAGCTCTCCCATGAAGGACGGAGACTACCATGAAGAGGAAAGGGAGTTGGGCCACAGTGGGAGAGCGGGGTTCCTCAGTCTCACCATGTTCAGTGTGAGGCTCAGAGGTGAAGCCTGAAAATTCTTAATTCAAACATGTTAGCATGTTTGAGACAGGAAGATAGAACTGGGCAGGGTGGTGCACCCTGTAATTCCAGCACTCTGGGAGGCCGAGGCAGCAAGATCAAAATTTCAAGCCCATCTGAGTAATTTAGAGAGATGCTGTATTAGAATAAGAAATAATGAAAGGACTAGGTTACAAATAGGAAAAATTTGTATCACTAATAGCAGCATTTGTAGCTGTTACATTCACCATGGATATACATGCATGTATTTTTTTTTTTTTTTTTAAGACAGGGTCTTGCTATGTGGTTCAGACTGGCCTTGAACTTGCTTATGTAGCCCAG